AGTCGAGCCAAATTTAAGACTTAACGAGTCGAGTCGAGTTGAGCCGAACTCATGCACGACTTGTTTAATTTAACCGTTTTAACACGTGGACAAGCATATTGTCGGGAACAAGGAGCATTGAATTGAATATTGTACAAGTGTGAATCACGTGGAAGGTCCTTGACGATTAGAATTTGTGACCATCCACTTTGTGTAAGTTATATAAATAATAAACTTTATTATTTCGAATATAATAGTAAAAAGTGCAACTTCCAATCGGAATACGTGGCCAGATCACAAGCCGGGTCATGGCCCGGGCCGGCCTACCGGGTTGATGGGTCTCAATTTAATGGCCATAATTGGCCTATCAATTTTTATGGCCCGGTTCATTGTGAACCGCTGGGTTACCGACCCGCTGGTTTTCGGCCGGTTTTGAAACAGTCTGGCCTATTAAAAAGTAAAAAAAATATATTCAAATGTCCAGTCTTCCAACTCGCGACCCAATTCGGTCTGGGCCAGACCGTCGGGACAAAAAAAATAATAAAGAACCGGAACTGACCCGCATGGCCAAGGTTCCGACTCACAGAACCGTCAATATCTGGGCTTGTTCGGGACCAGTTCGATGTCGGGCCTACGGGCTTTTACTTATGCAACGGCCGTGAACAAATGTGGTCTTAAGAGCATCTCCAATAGTTGGGATAGATTGGCAAGTGAATAGACGGACTTCCTTCCACGTGGAAGGAATAGAAGGTCATGTTGATAAGTAATTCTCCGTAATAGATGTCTACACACTGCAAATGGTACACATGGTTTTTTATTTTTTGTTCTAAGAAAGCCAAAAAAACTTGCACAGAAATTGTCCAACAAACTTTGAACCAAAAATCACACTGTATTTTTTGCTTGCAACAAACTTTAACAAACTTTGAACCAGCAAAAAAACCTAGGCTCTATAAATTATTTTGTAATACACGTTGCTTTTTTTTCTTTTAATGTTGCAACAAACTTTAACAAATTTGAATTGCAATAAACTAAAAAAAAAAAAAAAAAAAAAAAAAAAAAAAAAAAAAAAACTAGGCTCTATAAATTATTCTTCTAATCAATCATAGCAACGTCCAGATAAATTTGAATTGCAACAAACTTTAACAAAAAAGAAACCTAGGCTTTATAAATTATTCTTCTAATCAATCATAGCAACGTCCAATATTTATTTTTTGAGGTACCGTTATATCTGGTATATTTATTTTTTTTGGAGAGCTACTACCCACAACCGGTATTCATCTAGCATGTTATTCTTCTAGACTGACTTCCAAAAGTAGAAATGCTTCTACAATTTTGGACTCTCTTTCATGCCACATCATGAGAAGTAGAAATTAAAAAACCACCGTTGGAGAAGGTTTTTTGTCCCAAAGCTTCTACAATTTTGTAATTAACATACCATTGGAGATGCTCTAAAGACTCCTCATGGTTTTAAATAAAATAAACTTAGTTATGTGATTAGGAATTAAGATATTCTAATCTTGGAAGGATGTAGTTTTCTTATGTATACTGTGTTACACAAAGTGTGTTCTGAATTACAACGGGAACCTATGAACTGACTGAAGTATTCAGTTCGTACAAGAAGAATTAAAGCAAAATAAAAATTACAACTCAAATGCGGACAGATTGAAAGCCGAGGTGATTGAAATCTTTCCGCAAGACAAATACGCCCCGTATAGTGCTGATGGGTCTGCGCGTAATGTCCCCAAAGATACACCGGCAATACACTCGGAAGCTGTAGCACACCAGTCTTTTGAGTTCCAGCGACCGGAAATAAAGACGAGAACTGAGCATTATGATATGATGCGTGAAGCTTTGATCTTATGCAGAAAACATGCAATGTTGTGTGTGTTTTCTCTGCAGCTCTAAGTCTGACCGCGCGTCGCAACGCGTCAAATTAATATTTATATTTTTTCCTTAACTACTTCTACCAACTAGTAGTAGTAGCGAGCAAGGGTCGATCCCACGAGGAGTGTGAACCAAATTGTGATATTCTTGTATTAATTGAATTTATTATTAAAGCAATAAAAGGGGGGATTTTGAATTAATAACTAATCTATCTAAGAATGAAATCGAAACAATAAAAAAATAAAAATAAAATAAAATAAATAAGAGAAATTTTCTAGTTCACGGTTCCGTCTACACCCTCGACTGACTCGTCTAATAAACTTTGGTATCAAATCTCGCTATCTTATGAAATTACTAGCCCTAGGCAACGACACGGTCTGTTACCCGAATCTTTCCTCATTTTTAATTTAACCGTGAGACGCTCAACGA